TTCGCTTTCTACAAACGAGCAGTTGTCGCTTTTACTCTCAATGTATTTTTTTTAATAAAAAAGCCATGTTCGATAACACCGTAACGATGTTTAAAAACGTGATTTTAACTTTTATCGTTGTATAAAAAAGAAACAGGAAGTGTTATTATTTCGGCTCGTATCCGGATATTTTCGACTATAGAAAATGTTTGAAACTTATCAAAACTTTTTAACGCCTATCACACGTTAGAAACATTGGAGCAATTAAAAATCAAACCACGTTTTGACAGCGCTTCTATAGTAGAGGTTTCAACCATTATGAGGGCTTCAAACACACGTGTTCTGCCATATCCCACGCTCCATTACTTCCCATGCCCTATTCCGAGACATCGCATCCCCACCCGCGTGACAACTTGTATGTAGTATGACATGACGTGTAATTTGCACTTCAAACACGTCACGAGCAGAGAGAGAGACGTGCTTCTGTCCAATTCCACCCGTTTGTCACGACAGCCTGATTCAGTCGACTATAGTAATGAACAATGATGTCTTATGCATTCCACAACAAACATACTAAGTTAACCACCGCATTACTGATGCAAAAATAATCGTCACAATCCCAATTTTTCTTACATTTAAAATTTTATCAACGTACAAGAATGAAATTAATTAAATTTAAATTTTTGAAAAATTCAAAGTTTTTAATCGAATAGAATGTAATCAGAAAAAAAACAAACATTCCCATTCGCTCCTTAATTGAGTTTAATAAAAGACTTATTGTTGGTCTAAATATGATTAAAATTACTTAACAAGTTAAATTTATGAAGCATATAAATAGCTTTCAAGCTTGATTCTAACATTAAATATTAAATTTTTCAGAATTTTATAAAAAAATAGAAGTTATTAAAGAAAATTCTTGTATAATAATCTTTTATTAATAGTTAATTTTAATTAAAAATTTACTAGTTTTAATTGTTTTTTTATAGGTTAACTTTAAAATTTGCATAAGAATTAAATCAGATTACGGTAATAAATCTCAATAAAATATATTCCGATTAATATATTGATTAAAGTAACACCTGCTTTCGTAAGTGGAAAAAGTGTTGATAACAGTTGATAAATAGCTTCAATAACTTCGATTATGTCTAATATATATATAAGCATAAAAGTCAATATGCTGTAATATTGGCCTTAAACGTAAAATCAATAAATGATACAATATGTTACATTTAATATCAGTAATAATTACTTCTTCGAAATAAATCGTGTGTACGGCAAGAAAAATACCTTAAATAATATCTTAACGACTTACGAATCGATCGGTTATAAGTAGAAATAAATATTTTTTTTCCTTCTTTTTCTATGGAAGAAAAGGTAAAGAATGTCAGACAAGCTAATTGATTTGTAAGCTGTAAGTTTCAAAACTGAAGATTTATGAGAAAGGAGTCTCCAACGCATAAATGTAGAGATAACTCTTTCTCTTTGATATTATCTGAGGTCGACGGATATTAAACACGAGTCTTGCTCATTTGTTCTGGCGCTATATCAAAAGTATATATCACGTTTACACTTATGACGCCTGCAAATCACGCTTCGCAGCATTACATCGTTGTTTGAAGGAGAAGCATTCTTGCTTGGATTTTCGTTCTCTGTTACTATTCATTGTATCTATAATCGCATTATTTGCACAGTTTTATGGAAAATTAACTAAACGTAATTAATTACAATAATAGCTAAAAGCTTTATCGTATGTTAAAACTTTGTATAAATGTCATTCCGACGAGTTGAAAGAAGTGGAAATCATTTTGTGAATTAGAATTTTCAATTAATTATTTTCTTCTTTAAATTACATTAAATTAATATTTAAAAATGGCTTAAGAATTTTAAATTCTACAATTTTTTATATCGAAACTTCTTATTACAATTGGAAAAACAAAGCAATCAACAGAACAACAAATTTTTATCGTTTTTTTCAGGCCTGAGAAAGACCAGGATGTTGAAGACAGCCAGAGCAATATTTCTTAATTTTTTAACGTTTCCAAATATCAACGTCGTTACTGAAATTGAAGTAGGACGAGAAAAGAAGATAAGATGAGGATAAAAAATAAAATAAAAAAAGCTTATTCTTGCCATCAAGGCAGATAGGTTTGCCAGATTATAGATATCGTTTTGAGTAATAACTTAAAACAGATGAATTACGTGACGATCTCCAGGTTTACTCAAATGTGATTGTGAGCGTCTGAATGATATGCCAACTAAGAGAAATATTTGTTAAAATGTCAAGGCATACAATTCCCATATCATTACAATTGCGTGATTCATATTCAGCATCTTATACCGTTTTCTTCACAGTGTACTTACAAGCAAATTACAATTGTAAAATCTCGGAATCACAATGGCAAAACTTTCAAGAAAATTAATTAAAAAATAATCATTTTGATAGATTAATTTAAAGTGAAATAAAAATCTTTTAAAGTGTAATCAAAATGCATTTTATTACCTTTAAAATCATTGCTATAAGCTCGATTAGAAAATATGTTTTTTTGTAGAACCTTTTAAAAATAAAATTGTATAAAAAATATAATAAATTAATCATGAAAGGTGCTTAAATACGTTTATAAATCGACAAAGAAGCTAATTTTCTAAAACAAATAAAATTATCAAATAAGTAAAATATTAGAACTACGAAGAGAGATTAAAAGACAGCATAAATCATTAAAATAGTAACTAAACTTTACTTTTATAGTGAAAATAAATTGTGTAAAATTGTTCTATTATTACAGAAGATTGTTATAATTATTCAAAAGAGGATTTAAAAAGCATAAATTAATTGATAGCTCATAAAAATGCATTATTGTTAAAACTATAAATCGAATGTGTGTATAATCTTCAAATACACTTATCCCTCTTTTGTGGAGTGGATACATTCCAAAGAATGCCACATAAATGTGGCATTCTTTGGAATGTATCCACTTAATAAAAAATTTGTGTAAAAAAGTACTGAACATGCATCTGNTATACTTACACAAAATAAGAATAAATTACAAATAAATTAATTATTAACTCCTATTTAATTTTTATATATTTGTAAACATAAATCGAGATTATTCTATAGTATTATTCAATTAAATGCTTATATATTATTTTTAAATATAATAAAGAGCACATTTGTCTATAGACTCTTCAAACAACTATTAAATTATCGACTTCCCGGATAAATCGAGTGATTCCTGGAAGATCGCTTACTACCAGATTCAAAATCCCTGTTTTAAACAAACATTTAATATAGTAAAAACTATGATATTATTAGATTTTATATTAAAGAATAAAATTTCAATCACTCCACGTCTTTATACTAATAGGAAGATGAATAATAAATGAAGTTTAAAAGAGATGAATATAATTCAATTGGCGCATAAATACGATTCATTAAAAAAATTTTATAGAAAGGGTTCAAACTTAAGAATAAGTGAAGTTTAAAAATTTAATGAAGCGTTATAATGGAGAAACCAACCAAAGCATATTTCGTAATTGCAGAAAAAAGTTGTAGCAATCATTTATCAAAACAAACTTCTAATCGTTTAGAAAGAAAATGAGAATTGGAGAAGAGAAAAAAAATTTAAAGAACTTTATACAACATCACGAAACTATTTCTCTTTACCTCTTAATCGCAAAATGTCAGATATTTCAGATATTTCTGAAAATCGGAATTAGAATAGATAAAGGGAAGAAAAAGAAAGCTCTTCAGAAAAGATAAAGTAAACTGGTGACCTAAGGACATCGGGTCATTAATCTTGGTTGTCGTGGGGACGAAGATAGAAAAAAAAAAGGTTTCCGGTAATCCGCTTTAGTGCGGATTTATTGTATTTATAAACAAGAAAATGCATAAAGACCAACGTTAAATATCTTACTCGATATATTTTTCAATATTTATCAATAAAACGATCTATAACCGGCTAAAAAATCGTTGTATTATTATTTTTTTTTAAACAGCGAAAAAAAATTAATTTTTTTAGTTTTTAATGTAAAAAATCGATTTTATAAACAATCTAAATTACTTTTGAAGAATAAAATAGAAAAAATTAAATGATTTATTTATATTAAGTTGCTTGAAATCAATTTAAATATTTACACAGTTACTTGGCAAGTTCAAATTTCTATCAAAGTATGAAAATTTTGAAACATTATATCGTTAAAAATAAAGAAAAAATTAATATATGTTATTTAAATAAAACGAAGAATTTGTTTTTTTTTAAACCGAAAGAAAAAAATTAGATAACAAGATGAGAATTAATAAAGTTTTCGATAATAAATTCGGATAATAACTTTTCTTCTTCTTCATATGAAAATTTGAAGTTTGATGACATTAAACTCCAAAAGCCTGATAAATAATTCAAAGAGAAAATGAATTAAGAAAGAAATATATCTAGACGTGATATTTTCATTAACTCTTTGTTAAAACTTTTTTATTACTTTACTTTTTACTTGTATATATTTAAATCCTATTTAAAAAATATGAAAATTAAATTGCGTTAAAATCAAAAATAATTTAAAAATTAAATTTTATATTTCAATATTTTTACAAGAAGTATTTATATTTTAAATAAGAAAATTGTAACTTTACATTTAGCTATGATTTATTTGAATAAATTTTATTAAAATTAGTCGTTTAGTGAGACTTTTTTCCGTCAAGATTTTTCAAGATCAAGATAATTTGAATGTTTTGATTTTAAACTAAAATATGATTTTCTGTAAAATTCTGTAGAAAAGCATAAAAATGTTATTAACAATTTCTATTAAATTACATTAAATTTATTTATGAGAAACTTGACTAAATTGATTACAAATTAGTTTTTACACAGAGATTTTAAACGAAATTTTACATTAAATATCTTCACAAATTATAAATTTAGATAAATAATCTTTTAAATTATCTTACTGATTAAACTATAAGTTTTATTTAAAAGTTTTAGTAATATAAATATCAATTTCTCTATAAAAATATACGAATCAAAACTCACGTGACAAAAACTAGTGGCTCTTGTAATCTGAAATGATATATGATCTTATAAGGATGATTTATAAATTATTAAGCGTACTTTAAATGCATTCGTATGAAAAATTACCTCTCGGACTTTTCGATGAACCAAAACTTTGTGCCATTGATTATCATCGAACCTGACTTTAGCGGGTCGAACAGTTTTTTCTAAGGAACCAGATCCAAGATTTACTGTCAATACGATTCCTCCATCTCTCAGACTCAAGCTCAAAAAGTCGTCGTTGTGTCCCGTATGAAACATCATGCCAAGTGGTTGTCTCGTCTTAAAATATAAAGATATCTCGTCGCTGGAACTGATGATGGCTTCTCCTCCAGTTGATCTCAGGTCGTAAGATAGAAACTCTGTCCCTCTGAAAGTGGCTTCCGATGGAGGTTTTTCTGAAAAATAATCATATTAAATTACAAACCATATTAATTTATCTTTTTCTATATATATTTTATTAGTTTCGCTCCAGCAATTTCGATTATCCGAAAAGAGAAATTAAATACGTTCATAAAAAATCGCATTTTATGATGAAAAATAGTCTCAATATTAACCTGTAATTCATTTCGTTTTCAATCAATGGTTAGAAAAGGTTCATAAATCTGATAAAAGAACTAATGATAACAGTAACATCTCACTCTACTCGCGCTGGTCTATTAGTTGTTCAATAGTTCATTGACCAATCATCTGTTAAGGTTAGAAACATATCTTTCTCTTTCTCAAAGATATATATTATTTATCCATGGTACTTATTTCTTAATAACAGCATCACTAGTTAAATGATTTATTAAGTTACGCAGAATCCTCTTTCTAAATTCAGAAACAAGCCAATGAATACATGCGTGATCTGAAGAAATTTCAAAAAAGAGCGGAAAAAATCTCATTGAAAACATTATTGACAAATTTAACAACTATAGAGATCAATTAAATTTTCTTTAGTGAGTTTTTATCATTTTTAATTAGCAAAGGAAGTTTTAGACGTCAAAGTTTTTCTTTTGAAAATCTTAACGGAGACTTTTATTTCAAATCGACTATCAATCATGAAAACTCTTGGAAAACTTCTAAAAACCGCTACTTTAATAAACACTCGAGTTTAATTAGATTTAATACTTAACGAACTTCTGAAAAAATACTAAAAAATGCGTACGTTCAAAAAGTTTCTTCGTCAATATCTATCTACTCGACATTTCCGTAACTATCTAGAAAACGCTAATGAGAAAAAAGAGTTTTTTCATTAAATGTCTAAGTGAGTAAAAACATTATCTCCATCGGCACGCACTAAACTTTAAAAATATAACCACTATCAGATGAATTAGCGGCGAATGGGATGCCTGCGGGTGAGTCGACTATGCTTAATTAGTCGTACATATGGAAAAACTTAACGACAAAAGTCCCCCTAACTAACTCCCGTACAGCTAATCCTCTCTAATGACTCCGTTAATGGATACGTAGATGCCTGGTCGACTATATTAACACCGACAGGACGCTGTCCAGACATCGAGTGTCATCTGTATGGGCGATCTATCAGCAAGATAATGACAGTAATAGACATTCTCCACCCCAACAGTTCGGTAAAGATCCATTAAGTAAGGTGGAGCACATCTAATTATCGTGCCTAGATTTCTACCTAAGAGTAGCTAGCCTACGAGGAGTCAAGCGGCTCAACTTCCAGATAAAAATTGCTCGATTGAAGACTGATTTTCGCTCTACTACCGTTTTCTATTCTCCAGAGTCATATTAAACGTGTTGCTTAATGTAATTCCCGCCATACACTTTAAAAGTGATGATGATGATTGAATAAGATAGTAGTTTTCCTTAGTTTTCTACTAAGTATGGTCTAACGCATTGAAAAGTCACATTGAGTTTAAATATGCCATACGTCTTGTTTGCTAGAAGAAAAAAACTAGGGCGGAATTATCAAGGAAAGTAAAAATAAAGCATAACGAGCATTTATCTATTGTGGCATTGTCACAATGCAATTTTAATTATATTTAATTTTTAAAAATCACGTGACTTTCAGTTCAGACCGGAATTTAATATATAATTAGGATCTTCGGCCCCTGAGTTTTCCATATCTGGCCTCGATTTTCATATATCTAACTCCGTTCTCGAGATTAACGAATGACAGACAAACAGACAAGCGACGGTGAGAATGTAGGTGCAATTATTCAACTAAAAGAGATTTTCTGGCTATAAGAATATTTTTATTTATTTATAATCGAATTTATAATTGAAGTTTTCAAACATAATTCCCTAAAATATAGTAATATTTCTGATTCTTGTTTTGAATACATGCAAGTATCTAAGAAATTATGCAATTTAATTGAACGAAATAATTGAATTTTGCCGATCGAGACGAATGATTTCGATTAGACTCTGGTATAAAATACCATAAAATTTTTCAATGATTTTAATGATTTTACAAAAACATGTACAGTACAATACAATAATCTGGTGTGGTGCGGGCATTAGAGAAAATGGACATCCAACAAAAACTCTTCAATTAAAATTAGAAAAAAATAATAAAGAATATGATAATGTTAGGGGTGATGTGTTCTAGATTCTGATGTAAGTGGACTAAAATTCAAAGAAAATTTTATAAAGTTTGAGTTACCATTATAAAACAGGATTAAAGTACAAATAGATAAGCCATTATAACAAAAATTTATAAGTTAAAATTAAATAAAATATCATAATGATCATATGCAAATTTGAATTTTAAATAAACTCGCAAAAAAGTGTATAATTAAAACGTATTTTTGGGTACTCAAGTTATCATACATTAAGCAAAGATTAAATCTAATAATTTCAATATTTTAATAACATTTTTATAAGTATTTACAAATAAACGAAATAACGTTTCGTTAACAATATTTATTTTATACTTTTATATTTAAAAATTTGTAAATTTATTACAAATAATAAATTTAGTTCTATTAATATTTTTAATACTATATTATTGTAGAGCAATGTAGTTGTACTCGTATAAGCACTATAATAATATTTTATACGTAGTGTGATGATATGTTATTGAAATGACAATATGCGCTTCAAAATATGGGTTTCGGATTGATAATATATAATATTTTTCACACTGTAATTTCTATACTACACATTTTATATATTATCAGTACGATATCCATTACTGAACGTATCGATTGATACAGGAAATTATTAATGAAGTTTTTCACTGAAAAACATGTTTGTAAGGAGTACGGATGATTGAAAATAAGTTCTATTTAAATATTTTCTGCAAATAATTTTCTCTGCTTTATTAAAATTAAAAATAAATATTATATAATGGAATTTCCCAATGTTAATTTCATGTGTGCCTATTCCGTTTAAGATTCGAATAAATGAATTAGAAATATTTTTGAAATTCTATTAAATTTAATATTTATTACCTTATTTATATTTATAGTTTATTTGCAGTTTTATTATAATTTTAAACGCAAGTCTATTGATTATATTAATAAATAATAAAGATTAAATGTAATGTTTGGAAATATTTTATAAGCTTTCTATACGTATACTCTCTCTACAAATATAGTCTATTTTTAAAGAATTCAAAATATTTACATTATTTATGAAACTAAATCAATTAAAAATTTGATACTGTTCGTATATGAATTATTATTAATATTTTTCAATAATTTTGAATTAATTAAAGATACCAAATAGAAACAAACCTAATTAAACTACATTATACATTACAATGCAAAGACAGTACATGCAAAACAAGAAGACTTTATGTAGTAGATCAATTATTAAACTTAAAATCAATTATTAAATTTAATTGATGACTTTCGTTTAAAATTACTAAAATCGTATCCAAGAATATGTTCAGGACTATTAGTTGAGAAAAATTTAATCTAGAATTTTTTTCCTTCTCATCTGCTTTAAATAAAAATAAGAGTAAGAAGTGTTGGAAGCAAAGAGTAGTATGTACTTAAAATGATAAAACATTTGCCTTTCTAAGCTTATTTTAATTGAGTTATTAGAATTTCAGTGATTTACGCTCTCGATTATAGTTAGGCATTCATCTATTACGAGTCGGTCATTCATCTCAAGATAAGAAGATTCGGGATGCTGCAAATACCATTTAAGCAGATAATGCAAGTGGAAAAAACGAGTTTTCTACAGAAATAAGGAGTTATGTCCCATTTTATGATCGAAGAACGAACCCGGTTGCTGTAACTATTTGAATCCGGGAATTAATTGCCAAGGGTGGTTTTATTTCGCCACTCGGTCGAGGGAAACAATGGACTTCCTGCGATTGTATGACGGAATTGGACCGCAGCTTCCGGTCTGTGAGTAATCACGTAATGGATAAAATGTCCAACTGCAATTAATCGAGACGAGTCGGTAAACAAAAATTCTTGAAGAGAAGTTAAGTTGTAAAAGTTGATGGAGGCGATCTCAATTCGCTCTATTAATTTGCTGCAAGTACCGATGTAAAGCGGAGATATTTTATGATCGCAAGTTTAACAAGAACATGTAAGCTTTTAATTCTGATTAAATAGAAGCTACAGGCGACAAAGAATGCTTTATAATTCACTTAATGACTAAACTCGAACAAAATGAACCATTGTAAATAGACTATTCCATTTTGTAATTAACTAAAAATCGTGCCAATATTTAAGTATCTATTAAAATATTTACATTATTCAACGAACCTGAAAAGAAAAGTTAAAATTTTAGTGGTATTGCTAGTAACAAAATACGTTTATCCCTAATTTTTATGCTTATATATAGAATCAACTGTTGTTTATCTTGTCTGTATCTCAGCAAACATAAACATAAGCATTAATTGTAATATCATAAAAGATAAAAAATATTTCTAAACGAAGAGAGATTGAAGGTATGGTTGTTTTAACAGGGACTGGTTTGAACAGGAGTACAGTATATAGTAGTAAAGTAAAAATGCTTGTTTTCAATTATAAAATTTGTTAATCTAATCGATAATATGATTTTATCGTACTGTATTTCTATTCACTCTTTAATCAGATATTTCAATATATTTCGCAGATATTCCTAAGAACATTTTAAAATAATTTGTCTTTTTTATGTCTCAAAATTGATATTTAGTAAATTAACGCATGTAACTGACAAATTAATTCTTATATTTGCTTTTAATCTGAGGACTATTACACCTTTTGGGGAATTATTTCAATTGAACACCTAAAAACCTCTCTTGGTGTTCAATTGAAAAAATTCCTCAGAAAGTGTGATAAGTCCTCAGATTAGAAGCAAATATAAAAACTTTATAACATTAAATTTCGACAGATAGACAAGAAGCAAACTTTTAACCAAATTCCTGTTTACGATTCGTCATCTATGTCATATAATTAACAATGTCATTTTCTTCACTTTTTTCATTTAAAATTGAAGTAAT